TGAGAACTTTTTTAAAATTTAGGAAATTTAAGGTTATTTAGATTAACGATGATCACTTCATGGCGGTTATTCGATGAAAAGAGAAAGAAGTTGCCGGAGGCCGTTAAGTAAAGATCCTCACCCGGAGGAATGATTGGAAACAAAAATAAGATTTGTAAAGCTGATTGCATTTGAATCTCAGTCCAATTCTGTGATTTCACCATCTTGCTTTCTTTAATGGTTGAGCAACAAATTAAAGATGATTTCTTACCTCTTTGTTAAAAGAATACACCAACGCCAAGTAGAAGAAAACGAACAATGTTTCTTTTCAAGGTAGTGTAAGGTGGTGGTTAGGCTAAAGTTGATGATCTCATTAAAAGACAAAGGAAGGCCTGAAGCCGGTAGTGTAAGGTGGTGGTTAGGCTAAAGGTGATGGTCTCATTAAAAGACAAAGGAAGGCCTGGAGCCGGAAATGGTTCAATCGGTGTGTTTGAGAGAATGTTGGGGTAAGGGATCAGTGATGGGGATACATGGTGATTGGGTGAATGAGTTTCGTTATGAGAAGGATCTTATTTATCGGGGAAGACCCCGAGATCCAAAAAAGAAAGACTTAAAGGCGTTTGTGTTCGAGTAGGAAAGTGAATATTGGATCCGTTGTCAATTATTAAGGGTACTGCTGGGGTTTCGTCGCATGTCCCTATGAGGATCTGGCCGAAGATTGACTTTCCTTTCACTCGGAGATCCTCATAACCCACGTGTACTACTACCCCTTCACACCTTACTTAACCGATGTGGCACTAGTGATGTCACCTTCTGGCAGGTGACATCTTATCGGACCTATGTGGCATTTTGTTGCATTCGTTACCTCAAAGCCGAATGTGTTGGTAAGATTTGGATCCAGTTCTTAACGAACCGAGGCCCCGCAGAGATTGAGAATTTATCGTTGGGCCGGGTACGTGTGCGCCTCATCGTAGGTTCGTCCTGGGGTTGCTTTAGGCTTTCGCTAATAAATGGATTTATCGCAAGCGTGCATTGAACTGTGGGTTCATGGTAGATCTGTGATGTGTTGTAGGTTTATCACAGAGGAAAGAAGACCATTAATCAAGGAAACAGATATAATCATCTTTCATACGAAATGTCAATAACTTATAAGGTACTTAAGTGTATTGCAGTGGCTGTAGTTTAGTGGTAAGAATTCCACGTTGTGGCCGTGGAGACCTGGGCTCGAATCCCAGCAGCCACATTTTTCAACTCTTTTATTTTTAGAGTTGTGGACTTTTATGTAAAAGTCAATTAGCTTCAACTTCCTGCTCAAGTTACGAATGTTTAGTCAATGTCTTTTTTGCTTGAGTTCAGACTGTTGATATATTATTAATACAAATAAATAGTTGGTTTAAACAAGTCCTATTAAATGGTGCTTCACTATTCCTTTTTGTTCCATGGAAAGGTATTATTTATTCATATAAATTTTATTTATAAATATTATTTTTATGTATTTTTGTGAATTGTTATAATATTTATTTATTTTTATAAAAACATATATATATGATGAAAATAATTAAAAAATTATTTATATTTTTTGTTTTTATTTATTTAAATTGGTACGTTTTATTTTTCTTTTAATAATTTATTATTTTTAAAGAAAACAAATCCAATTGGATCAGATCTGAAGATCCAACTTCCCAGTCGACTTTGAATTCAGATCCTTGCCTATCAGATCCAATCGGATGTTCAGATCAGACCGGATTCAGATATATCCTACTTTAAATCCGATCCGATGGAGACCTTATCAACCAGTCGGTTGGTACCTTGTGGTGCGTCACTATTCTAGGTTTCACATTAGCATTAATTTGCTTTGGGCCCATTTAATTTGGGAGTGTTGAGCTGAAGACTCAGTCAAACTATAATTCAGTTGGTTTGAAGTGTTCCAATGAGCTATTCAGAGAAGGTGAAGGAGGCATTCCTTTAAATGGCAGACTGATAGTCGATCTGGTTTCTTTGGACTTTTCACTAAAGGCTCAGTTTGGAAGGAGTACAAATACAAATTTGTAGAGTATTTGTACAAAATAATAAAAAATACAAGGTCTTGCACTGTATATATTTATATTTATGCTCCTAAACTGAGCCTAACCATAGCTTACAGGGTGTTCATAGTTTTAGGACTCTGTGACCACTGTTTTGATCAGATCAGACTGACCGGTTGAACCAGGATTTATAGGGAACGGGATCTCAATGCCATTCAATGGTTAGCCAGGGACTTTTTTTTGGTACTTCCTGAAGTACTTAAACCTATACATTTATACATGTATATTTGCATATATGCATACATACACCACCTATGTGAATTTTAGTTTGGATAGATTAACCAACCTGAGCTTATATCAAATTCTAGTGCGATTAGAACAGATATTCCACTTGACCTCAGGCTTGGTCAACAATTTTGCTTTAGGCTTAACTCTTAGGGTTGGGCCTGGTTGACATTAAACCTGGCCCACCTATCCACGTTGCGCCACTTGTAAAGAATAAGGTTGCTTATGCTGTCATCTTTTCCATTGTTGGCTGTTTGATTGGAGAAGGCAATTGAAAAGAGTTGACAAACCATGGAAAAGGAAACTGCATCCAAAAGCCTAGACTTAACTCTTGACCATCACTTTGATTGCTGAGTTCAAACACTAAAACAGCTTCTGACGTACAGTTTGCAGCCACCACTCGTATTGAGCGATTACAATTCCAAGTCAACTTCTAGAAAATTTGAATTGTTGATTCACTATAGTGAAGTTCAAGGCCCCAAACAAGTTGCTTAATAAACAACTTTGATTACTGCTTCTGCCTTGCCATTTGTATGGATGATATATATTGCTGTTGCAAACCGATAGAACCTCTGGAATTAGTCATGCATTTGGTCTTCCTCTTGATAGGCAATTCATGTATTTGATCTCTGAGTTTGTATGGAAACCCTATATATAACCTTGTATCCATATTATGACGTTAGCCTTCAAAATTTTCATCTATTTAACTCAAAAATTGAGGACTAAGGTTTCCCCCATAAACAGTATGATGAAAGACACATTTCATGTTCTTATGTGGAAGTTTTTATTATCTGTGTTAAGTTAAACCACCTGACTAGAAGGGCATTCATTTGGCATTGATTGTTTCACTACCATTGCTATTTCCATATCAGTGTTCCAGCAAAAAATGAATTAATAAGTTAACCCACCTGACTTGATGTCCATTTACGCAAAAAAAGTATCCATGAAATCTGCCCATGGGGCGATTATCAGAAAAAACCACAATCAGGGTTCGGCGGGATGTTGTTATAAATTATAATGCCCCTTGAAATGTGCAACTTCGAAAAACTTTTCCGAATTGTAATTGCAGCAAAGCTTTTAAATGAAAAAAAAAAAAAAAAACTGGAATAATTTAAAGTTTAAACCATGGTTACCTACCTAGTTCATTGGTTCGGGAAGTCTGAATTCGGGTTCAAATTTTTTGAACTTTAGGTATTAATTATTAATTCATTTTGTTAATTCAATTAATTATTCTTATTCTTATTTTAGTGTCACCTGGTCTCTCTATGGGCAAAAGATAGATAGCTAACTCACACTGAGAAATACTCAAATTGTAGACAACAATGCTTTAAAGTTAAACCCCTASTCAAAACATCTCTTACAAACACCCTGCAGATGCAAGCATTGTATTGCTATTGAAGCATTATATTTCTATTACTGATTATGCTCAAAAGAAATGGTGAACAAAATACTACAATTCTGAACAACTATCCAACAGACTCGCTGGAGACCAAAGCGATTATGATGACATGTAAGCAACCTGGAACCAGAAACTAAGATATTCTATTTCTAGTCTTTTGTTGGGTCCCCACCTAGAAATGTATGGCGTGGATTGGATGGACAATTGAAGACAGCCCTAATAATATCTCCCCGACTGCCAGTCAGATATAAAAATAACTTATTTAAGATGGGTCATGTAGTTGCTTTCACCTACCCCATTCATACATGCGAAATCCTAATCTGAGATGGGTGGATCATCAACTCAAAAGGAAATATCTCACCATTTTTATTTTTGATCGTTCCACACTTCCACTTTGGCCTTCATTCAAGCACTGGGGCTGGTTTTCAATACTGCTTAAGCAAGTAACTTGCCAATTAACTGGGTTTGGCTTGGACAAAATATGGCCTGAGTTTGTTATATTGTGTTTCTATTAATAAAATCCACTAGAAGTGGCTTCCATAATGGAATATTATCTGATTGGATCAAGGTGTATCAAGATTCAATCTGAATATAAACGAATAACCATTTGAGATCCATTGCAGCTTAATCAGGTCGAATCTGAGCTTTGATCCAATTCATTGACGACTAAAATCACTTTCTGGTTGCTTTGAATTGCTAATTTGGCAGTCCACCCTCATCTTAATTAAAAAGGAGAATGTTAAGTGGAGAACCGAAGGTTAAGTGTCAAAATATGTATCAGTTTGTATCGTACGACACTTCAAGGTTTTGAACCCACCGATATGCCAAATAATGAGATGGGAAGAAAGCCCATTTTCGATCATTAACACCTTTCCTAGACCCTTGGAATAACACAATTAATGTGCTTATCTATAATTTGAACCTTGATCTGGAAAAGCCATAAACACACACATGCATGATGCATACCAGCGTGTAGAATAGAAAGACTCCCTAATAGGGTTTAAGTTGGGAATTTCCCTACACAACTGTGGCATGTAAAGGCCTGATGTGGTCAATCCTAGCACTCCCTCCATCAAGTGGGCCACTAATCCACTTGTGCAATCTTGCAGTCCTGTGAACAAGTGATAGTGGCCATTGAAAGATTCAATATTTTAAAGTAAAACTTGCCCAAAAAGAGGAATTTATCAGAGAATAAGACAAGGATTTTTGGGCTAAATTTTTCCCCATAAGAATAAGAATAGGATAGTGAGAGGAATTTGTGGGGGACATTTAGGGCCCCGAATCAATTGTCCACCTGTTTGGATGTAAAAAAAAAAAAAAAAAAAGTTGATTTCAATAATGAGAAGTCTAAAAATAGTAAGAAAATGTTAAATGGTAAACGAAAGCACATGTGCTTATTCCAGGTGTTCTCTCTACACAACCATATATCCCAAGTCCAAAGACAAATTCATCACCTTAGGTTTATATTGTGTAGAAGAAATATTGCATGTACACAACTTTAAATAATACAATGAACAAATGAGAGAAGCTGAAGATTCAAGGATACTCGTGTTACTACCAATAAGATACACGTATACCTTTCAGAAAACCATGGGAGTGAACCTTGAACCTGATTCTGAGATTTGGAAATATTGTTTGCCACTTTGCCCAATAACAAAACCTCTTCAATTAGGCAGTAAAAAAATGTTGGACACTGTAAATCTCAAGGTTTCCTCAAGGCAGAAGCTGCACCCATAACAATTGCCAAGACAAGTCCAAGACCAGCACCAAGGGATGCACCTACAGCTGCAGATGTCATGGAATTTCCCTTGCTCTGAGCAACTCGATTTGCATCTCCTGCCATTGCCTGTTCTCTTGCTAATTCTAGCAAGAGCTGGTCCCTAGCAAGTTCCTGCATGGAAAGGAGAATTTTAAAATCACATCAAGTGCTTACAAAGTTGGATCAGCTCAAGTACCAAACAGTTCTGATTGTATGGAAAAGTGGACCACAAGGATACTAGTGGGCAAGGTACACCTAACAGAGAGGTGTCTTTGACCCAATAATTGATGATTCTCAACAAGGACATCTAAACCATAACATGATCTGGCAGGTTTGTCATATTCAAGTAAGAATTAAGATTTAAAATGATACAGAAAAGAGCCCATCAAATGAATCACTTCGCAAGTTCAAATATTAACTAATCATTTTTGTCCATCATGTTGCCTCTCTGAGATAGATTCCTTCTGAACATTGTCTCATTACAAGTCCATCGAAGTCATGTCAATGTGGGCCCACTCAACTTTGCACCAATTAGCAGTCAAACAAGCATTGCAAGATCAAGTGTATTTGGATGAGCATGCTTTGGTTTGCATGGTTTGCAAATCAAATACATCATCAAGCAAATACCTTTACCTTGAATGAAGCTTCCTCTTGGCTCCGAAGCGCACGGTGTATGAGTTGACAAAGAGCAGTCACACCCTCCTCAGGCAGAACTGTAGCTTTCTTTTGGAAAGGCATCCGTACAATATTAATGGGGGCAAGAATGATCTTTTGGGTGGCTGTCTTTCCTTTGTCTCCGTCATCCATAGTTCCCCATGATTGGGGAGTAATTGCAGCACTGGGTGTTACGTAAGGACAGGAATTAATAACTTCTGTGGTGCTTGGAGAAGTTTGATATGCATGTAGGACAGCATTAATTGCTGCTTTTTGCTGGTGTGCACTGACAGAGAATTTGTTTGTAATAGCAAGGACCCAAGGGATTCCAAGTGCTTTGGCTTCATTTAATAGCAAAGAAAGAGGTGGTTGTGGCTGTGAATTTGGTTGATGGTACCGTGGTATCCTGTGTGACAGGTTATGCACAAGAACAACTAGATCAGTCTTCTTGCTAAGATCTCGAATTCCCATCCACAGTTCATCCCTGAAACGAGCGGCCTCGAAACTCAAGTCCTGTAGCAAGTGTAAAGAAAATAGAATTTTGAAAACTTAAAAACCAAAAATATTTGAAATGATTACCACAACATATAACAGGAAACCATAGTGGTGTTTTTTGGGACAAGACAGTGGGATACATGTAAACCCTTTTGAACATGGGATGCATGAATACATGGTTGAAGCATTGTGAACAAAGAATGTGAATACATGGAAACCCTTACAACCCATTATGCTACTGTAAGCAACCTTCGAAACAAGAACAATAATAAATAAACAATAGGAATTATGAAATGAAAGAAGCCAGGTATACACAGCCATTATGCTATCATAAGCAATCTTTACAGCAACAACATTACAATGACAGTAATAATAATATCAGAGGACAAATATAACAATGTTTTAAAAAATGACCCAGAACCGGAACCGTTCTGGCCACCAGTTCGACCATCCAGTCCGAATGGACAGCCCATTCTGAAAAAAAAAATTAAAGAAATAAAAAAATAATTAAAATAAAAAAGGTCAAAACCGTTGACTGGTTGAACAGTTCAACGGTTCGACCGCCCGGGTCAATGGGTCATTGATCGATTCAACGGATTTTGGTCAAGGACCGGGTTTGGGGTAAAACAGAACTGGTTTCCTAGACGGTTCCCGGGCCGAATGGTCTGACCATCCGGGTCAACGGCGGTTTGAAAATGTTGAAATATAATATAACAAGCTAAAATACAAAAAGCATGCCTTTTTTTATGATCATCATCCAAGCCTTATCCTGACTATATGGGGACATGAATCCTGTTTTGCCGGTCTGCTCTATTAATGCCATATCCATTGTTAAATTATTGGCACTTAAATCATTCCTTTCTACTTCTATCAATGTCCTTTTTGGTTTAACCCTTGCCCTTTTATCCTTGTCAACTTGTAACAAATCACTTCTTATGGGTGCTGTTGATGGTCTTCTATCCACATGGTAAAACCATCTCAGTCTACTTTCTCTCATTTTACCACCTATTGGAGCTACTCTTAAGTTCCTATGAATAATTTCACTTTTAATCCTATCCTTTCTAGTTTTTCCATTCATCCACCTCATTATGTGCTTGTCTCATGTCCTTTTTTTTTGGATGAGTAATACAARAAGTATATGTCATCATCATCATCATCTAAACCTTATCCCAACTCTATTGGGTCAGCTATATGAATTTTCCTCAGTCATTCCATCATGTTTAGTGCCATATCCAATGTTAAATTATTAATGCTTAAATGATTTCTTACTACTTCAACTACATATGTCCTTTTTGGTCTGTCCCTAGCCCTTCTAGTTCTAGCCCCTTCAACTTGCAACTAATTGTTTCTTTATACAGGTGCTGTAGATGGTCTTCTATGCATGATGTTTTAAAATGTGGAGGCATGACACAACATGTTCCACTACCAAGAGGTGTGAGGCATTAGAGGTGTAAGCCTTTTTAAGAGGGGATGAGGAAGGAGTAATTTTTTTCAATAAAGATCGACAAGACACCCCCCCCCCCAAAAGCACAAAAATATTGAACTGGGGTGCATTAAAAAGAGGTTTGGGGTTTGGAGGGCGAAGGCCCCTAGCCAAAGGAGTCTAGGAGCAAAGCCAAACTTTCTTCCCCTCTCTTTCCTTCCCTTTTCCTACGTTTCTCTTTTTTCCCTCTAATTTCTTTTCGTATCCTTTCTTCTCCTTTTTTTTTTGGTCTTTCTGTGTGAGGCATGTGGAAGGCATACGAGGCATGCACCTGTAGCACACCTCATGCAAAAAGCATATGAAGCATATGCCTCTTGCACTTGAGGCATATGCCTCAAAGGCATCAGTGACTCTGGCATACACCTCAAGACGTTTTGGGGCGCCTCACTTGGAGGTGTGCCTTCAGGCGTATGCCTCCCACGCCTTTTAAAACAATGCTATGTATATGACCAGATCACCTTAGTATACTTTCTCTCATTTTATTACCTATTGGAGCTACTCCTAGGTTGATTAATGACTTCAATTTTGGCTCTATTCTAGTTTTTCCACACATCATCCATCTCAAAATACACAATTTTGCGACAATCATTTTTTGGACATGTTTCTTCAATGACCAACACTCTACTCCATACAGCATTGCTGGTCTTATCAACTGTTTCATAGAATTTTCCTTTTGACCTGAGTGGCATTCACCTATCACATAAGGCTCCGATTTACCCTTCCATTTTGCATGACATCCTCATCAATCTCTCCCTTGTTATGAGTCAATGAACCAAGGTAACATTGAGTTATCTCTTGGTCTCCAACTCATCATCATCATTACCATTATCATTAATAATTACTAAGTTATTAAATTTGCATAGCATTGTTTTATAAGTTTTTTTTTCCAGAATCATGTCTTTCCAGCATCATAGTCAAACCCTAAATCAATACTTGTACAAATTATATTGATTTTTCTAAAAATTAGGGTATATACATAGACATTTTAGTCCCATTAATTTTCAATGGATATTAATTGTGTCTTGATGTCGTACAATTTATATAAACCATTAAATTAGGCTTTTTAATATTATTTAAAAATTGTGTATGTATACTATGTGCATCGGGCAATACATTCAGATTTTTAATATTATTTAATATCGCTCCTTCTCTCTAATTACTACCTATAACCCCCATAATTACTCTTCTCTCTAATAACTCCAATAATTACTCCCACTCTTTCAATAACTCCTATATTTAATGCAATGTTTAATATCTCTAATCAATAATTGAATTTAAAAGTTAAAACATGCCATTAAATACACCTTAAAGCATTAAACTAGCTATGAAAACTATGGCCCCATTTGGCGCGTCTTTTCGTGTGGTCTATCGGCTATTTGCAAGCCCAACAAACCGCGATTCGGTCTTTTCCCGTTTGGTTTGTGACATATCTAGCTGCCAAAAACTGACACGCCAAAAAGACACGAGAAGCCCAAATCAAGCGATTTTCGRGAAGCTCCAAATGGAGCTTTTAAGTTTTTTTTTTTTCTATTCGTCTTCGCACGAAAAGACACACGGAAAGACACGCCTTAACCAAATGGGAGATCTTAATGCAAAAGCTAATGCGTCTTTTGACTGTTAGAGCTACCAAAAGATCTTCCCAAGAAGACTTGCCAAACGGCCCCTACAAATAGGAGGATTTGAACCCTGGTTATTAGCATGTAAAATCACAAATCCGCCATTAAGCCATGCTATAGTTGCTTGTTATAAACTTATGCATTTTTGTTCTTAACTAACTTTTTTTTCTTAAGGGATTTTTTGGCAATGAATACTAAAATTGATTATTAAAATTTATATACTAATAAATATTAACACAAACTATATTGATTTATGAAAATTAAGATTTATAAATATAAGTTTTAGTTCTTCCATTATTCTTCAATGGTTACCAATTGTGCCCTAATATCATACAATTTAGATAAACCCTTGAAATATGGTTTTTTATGTTTTAAGCAAGTCATTTATAATTATATAAAACTTATACCTATTGGTATTAATATTTATTTTTAAGATTTTATTTGAGTTTACTAGTGTATCCATGTGTATCTAAAGCATATCCCAATATGTCTTTTAAAATTGCCTTACCGATACATCTTGCATTTCTGATACTTTGAACCTTACTGGTATGTAAACCCCCTTTCCCCACTTCTGTCTAGTCTCTCCAATGACCAACTGCTTTTTTTTTCTTCCATTCCTTGCTTTTCTTTTGATTACATTATTTGAGTTGAAACTGTATGAAAAATATTGAAAAAAAACCGTATTGAATATACATCTTGTGTGTATCAGTTGATTTAGTCAATGTTGACCAAAATTTATGACACATTGACTGATATTTTTGTATTTTAAAATTTACCTTAATATTCTGTCATTGGGTCTCGACAACGAAATAAGTTGTAGAGATGTAGAGCAAAAATGATTATTGTGGTCCCCACTGCTGCATGTTTGTTTTATGTTATTTATGTTTGCTGTTAGTATGCTAGTTATGTTAGTTATATCAGTTTCTGTTAGTTGCTTGTTTATGTAAGAAGTAGGGCATTAGTGGAACTTTACTATGTTTTAAATTGCTAACATAAAAATAGCTGAGTGGGGCGGCAACTCTATTGATCCACACTCTTTCTCTAACCTCTCTGTGTTTTCTTCTCCTTCTATTCTCTGTTCTTTCTTATTGAATCTACACTAGAAGTTAGACTGATTACAGTCTTTATTAGACAACTTGGTATCAGAGCCAACCTAGGGTTTCTCATGTGTGTCTGATTCAGCCGACTGCATGAGAACTTCCTAGGGCTGGAAATTTAACAAGATTGATCCATTGGCTGATTCTTGGAGGTTACTGGAAGAGTGCAGCAGATGCCCAAGGGCTTGTAGAGTCTTGGAGAGTGTCCGATAATCAGGAAGAATCAGAGAAGAACAAGAAAGTTCAAGACTAGGGTTCAGTCTAGGATTGGAAGTGGCAATAAGCTTTTTTTGGGAACTGAGTAAAAGACTTAAAGGAAGGTGTTTTGGAGGCTGGAAACATGACTGAAAACACTTTTCAAATCACCACTGTCAAATTTGATGGCTCCAATTACTTGGAATGGACTCGGTCAGCTATGATGGCCTTTGGGGGTGGAGGGAAATTAGGCTATGTAAACAGGGATGTAAAGAAACCAGCCAAGGAAGACCCATCATATGCCAAATGAGTTCAGGAAAACTATTTGGTCATGACTTGGCTGTATAATTCTATGCAGCCACACATTAGCCGGAACTACTTAGGAAAAAACTGCTAAGCATATTTGGGAAATCATGAAGGAAACCTACTCCCAGCCACTTAATGTTGCTACGGCCTATGAACTGAAATGTGAAGTAAATAATCTCAAGCAAGGAGAGAAACCAATCTCGGTTTACTTCTCTACCTTGAAATCTTTATGGCATGAAATTGATCACCTAGAAACAATTGAGTGGGAAAGTCAGAAGGATGCAAAAAACATATAGAAAATAGATTGAAACCAATAGGGTT